TTTTTTCAATAATAAATTCATCACTAATTATCCACCCACCGTTGTCCGCCGGAAACCGTTATATCTTACGGAAGCAGTCGTTACTTCAGAGTCCATAACCATCTTTCTCTTCCCTCCAAAAACTCTTTGCTCTTTGATGTTCTTTCTTCTTTGATCTCAAATTCATGTATATCTACTACAGCCATGAAGCAAAGGACAAGGAATCATCATGAGGTAAGTTCATTCTTGTTCTGGGTTTTTTAGCTTTTTTTTGTTTAATTGCAAAAAGAGTTAAATTGCAGAGAAGTTGTGCTGAAATCTGCTGTTTTGGTTGTTCCTGCCTACAGCTCTTCTGGCCCCAAGTTGTCATGCGCAAATTGTTCAACATCAGCCCAAGAGGCTCCGATTACAGCGCTGACCCAGACAAGGAAGAAGAAGAAGAAGACGATATTGATTCTGATTCCAAAACAGAAGGTTATTAATATTAGGAATTTCGAGTCTTTGGTGGTAGTTTAGAGTTGTTTGTAGGGGTTTCTTTTTCAGGTTGGAATTTGGAGTCTAAACTTGATATGGGTTTTGCAGAATTTTGCCAATGGGGAAAAAAACCATGGTTTCGTGGCAAGGAAGAGGAGGAAGTTCAGCCTGACCCAACTGGTAAAGTTTAAAGTTTCTACACGGTTGAGGCTTTGATTTTAAGCATTGTCCATTCAATTTTTAGTTTATAATTTAACTAGTTCTGGGGTATAAATCCATTTCCTGCAGCGAGAAGTTCATAGTATAATGGTTCTCTTAAGTACTTTACATCCTGTGTAACCTTATTTATTCATCCTTCTAAAAACAGATGGTTTTCCGAGATTAAGAAGACGAAATTCGGAAACTTTTAGGGCACAATATATAAACACCAAGGAACTGAGGTATGGTGCTTCTTCCTTTTTGCTTTAATATTACCGGCTGCACTAATTTAGTAGCTTCTGGAAGTTCATTTTTTAACTCTTCACCAGTTAAGTGATATCTTTCTCTTCTTTTTTCTTTTAAGTTTTCAATTTCTTGCTTTTCTTTATAGAGTCTGACGATATAACAAAATATTTCTAGAGTCTGTGTTGGTACATGGAATGTTGGTGGAGAAGTTCCACCAGATGACCTAGATATCGATGACTGGATAGATATTAATGAGCCGGCTGATATCTATGTGATTGGGTAAGTGCTTTTGTGATTTGTTGTGAACTTCCTATGCTGTGTGATTTTGACTTCCAAAAACTAAAGGTTATGTTCCACTATTGCAATACCGTATGCCATATCTTTACGAGCATGGACATGTGTGGCATACATGTTGAGATTAATTTTGTCATTATATCATCTTGCTTATAAAGATTTTATTTCTCTTCGTCTACTTGATTTTGAAGGTCTACATTTTGTTAGTTGGTTTCAAAGTGTCATGTTTAGACCTTCTGTTAGCAATTTGAATTTAAGGTATCCATTTTAGAGCATGATATGCTTTATGTTTGCAGTATTCAGGAGATCGTTCCTTTAAATGCTGGAAATATATTTGGTGCTGAAGATAGTCGCCCAGCTCAAAAGTGGGAAGACATTATTCGTGAAACACTGAATCAAATTCAACCTGTAACATCAAAAGTTAAATCCTATAGTGACCCCCCATCTCCATCAAAGTTTGAGCCATCTGATGATGTCCCAACTATAGAAGAAGAGACTTTACTTGAAAGTGATAGTGATGGAGGAGAAGAAGCTGGTAGTTTTTATGAAGTCAGGGATAGATTAGCTAGAAATGTTAGTATGTTACCTCATTTTGTAGTTTCAGAGTCAAATAGTGGTGCCATTTCAGATGTGATGGTAGAAAAGGATTTACAGAGGCAATATTCTTCTCTAAAGAGGTTAGATAGGTTGAATTGCTTGCGGATGGAAGATTGCAGTGAAAAAGAAGAGGCCTTGGTTATCCAACAGAATTGCAAATTGACCAAATTGCTGAGTAGCTCAGAAAGGATTGGTTTGAGCTGGCCTGAGCCTCCACTAAACTTGCTATCTCAGCATGTTTTGGAAAGACCAAATTCCTTTAAAACAACCAAATCTTTCAAAGCAACAAGTGATGTGGAATCAGGGATAGCTTCGTTTGCAGAAATTGATCTAGAATCCCTCTTGAAGCAGAAGAGGAGATCATCATATGCAAGAATAGTGAGCAAGCAGATGGTGGGGATTTTCCTAACTATATGGGTTCGTCGGAGTTTGCGTAGACATATTCAGAATTTAAAAGTATCTACCGTAGGTGTTGGTGTGATGGGTTATATTGGTAACAAGGTCTGCTCCTCTTACTAATATTTGTTATTTAGAATTCTTGTGAATGATTTTTTAATGTTTGCCTTTTATTTGCATATTGGAATGATAGGATTATGCTGCTGTTACCAGATTATTTGTCAGTAGTGGTCAGATTTCTTAAGCCTTATTCTCATTTTGATGCTGGTGATTTCCATGGATGCATTTGTAGCTTGTGGTGAATGGAAATTGTTAAATGCAACCTAGCATATCTGCATCTGTAACGTGTCATGATCTAAAAGTGATTAATGGGAAAACCTTGAGTCTTTGTAAATTAGTTTAGGATTATTTTCAACCTTGGTCTATTTCTAGGGGATATCTTTTTGTTGTTAACTTTGACTCAGACAGCTATAAGATGGCTTCTTTTCAGAAATTTCTGATTATCTGGATAGGACTTGTCAATGAAAGGTATATGGTACTTTCTTAGAGACAATCTATTTATGAAGATAACTCCTCTTCATGGATAAATAAATTCTTGCCATGCCCCTCATTCATCCATAGGGTTGCCTTTTTGAACAATTCTTTTGAATGATATATTGTTTCTAAGTTATGTTCAGTTACATCAAAGATGTTCTAATTGTGTGGTGATTTTCATTCTGCTAGGGAGCTATATCAGTCAGCATGTCCATATATCAGACATTTTTCTGTTTCATATGCACTCACCTGACAGCAGGTGAAAAAGATGGAGATGAACACAAAAGAAATACTGATGTGCATGAAATATTTCACAGAACTCATTTTCATTCACTTCGTGCAATTGGGCTTCCCAAAAGTATACATGATCATGAGTGAGTATATTGCAGTTTAAATATCTAGCCAGTATATATATGTTTTTGCAGATTTATTTTTATTTTTATTTTGTGTTTATTTTTCTGCTACGGACTGCACTATTTCGCTCAAATTTTGTTATCATTTCTGCACGATTGAATTCTAAAAGTGCTGAGAGATGGCAACAGGGCTCAAAGTGTTAGGGTTAGGGGTACTTAAATTTATGTATTTTTGATAATTTGGAAGTTTTTCACAATTCTCTAGATGGATTACATCTGTAACACATGCACGAGAAGATGATTATTTTGTTAATAGCTTTAGAATACCCTTTAAGGCAGTGCAGTGAAGTTATTAGTATAACACTTTAACCTCACACTATTTCCCTTTATACAACCTTCCAAATTATGAACTTTTAGCATGGAACCCTTCTATAGGCTGGTAAAGAAATTTTGATGGAGACACTACAAAGTACTGAGGAATGCGTGTGCTGTGCTTATTTATTTATCCTTACATTAGAGCTTTCAGTTTTTGGTTGTTTGAAGACTACCTATTCCCTTTAAACGTAAAAATAATATACAAAATGACACTGATTTTCTTTTCTTGCAGAAGAATATTTTGGTTTGGCGATCTCAATTACCGACTCAACCTTTCCTATGAAAAAGCACGTGAGCTCATCTCAGAAAGAGAGTGGTCCAAGTTGGTCGAGAGGGACCAGGTAGTTAAGCTTGCACGGAGATTGCTTGGATCATTGAAGAACTTATGGCTGTAAATATATTTTTGTCAATACATCCAGTCCCTGCCTTCTCCCAAATCTCCCTACTGAAACAAAGTGTGGAAATACACAGTTGCAGTACTCAAATTTGCTTTAAAGTCCTAAGTTGCAAGATTAATGAACTTAGAGAATGTGAGAGCAATAATAGAATTTGTGTTTTATAGAACTTAAAGGCAACATTTCTATAAACCATTAGTTAAAAAATTTCCTTTTAACAATATGCAATACACGGACTATAGCATTTTGGGTAGTCACGATGCTGATTGCTGCTTTTTTAACTTGTATATGGCTTGAAGTAGTTGGTAAGCTGTAGTTATTAATATGTCAATGTCTTATCATGACAGCTTGTGCGGGAGCTGAGGAAAGGTCAAGCATTTGATGGATGGTCTGAGGGAACTCTAAATTTTGCACCAACATACAAGTACGAGGTGAATTCAGAAAAGTACTATGGAGAAAATCCGAAGGCTGGGAGGCGCACCCCAGCTTGGTATTGTTGAACAAGACAAATTGCATGTACCCCTTATATTTAACTGTCAATGTTTTACTAATGTTCCCTATTTCCTCATTTTTAAGGTGTGACCGAATCCTTTCATATGGTACGGGAATGAGGCAACTAAGTTATAGAAGGACAGAGCTTCAGCTTTCTGATCATCGCCCTGTTACAGCCATATATATGGCTGAGGTTGAGATATTTTGCCCCAAGAAGCTACAGCGTGCTCTGGCTTTCACAGATGCAGAAATAGAAAACGAGGAAGTATTAGCGGAAGTGGGCATTTAAAACTGATATCGGAACAAGTTGCTTCAGTTGGAGCAGGTAAGTGATTTGCTGCACCTTTGAACTGCATAATGGCATCTTGTAGGGTTCTTTTAAACTTAATGTGGCTTTTTTTTAATTGTCATTAAGTTTAGCCTTATAATGGGAAATCAAGTACATACGTGGAAAAGGTCCAGAAGATGATGCTTTTTTTCTTTTTTTAAGATAAAACAACCATAAGGTTATTATATATCTCTAGCTGAATGAAAGCTTGCTTTGTGATGCAGGATATAAAGTTTCTATTGGAACCATTCCAGGGAGGTCATTCTATGACAAAATCTTGAACCGAGGCTATTGTCTGTGAATTATCCTCACAGTTACACTGTATACTTAATCAGTAATTCATTTGATCTCTTCATTTTTTGGTTACAATACTGTATAATGCGGTACTTGTGTAAATGCATTTGCATTGCTGCATTAGCTCTAGGCTTTTTTACTAGTAGTAATTAGGTTAACAGCAATTCAGATAGGGGGTGTTCATACATCAGTCTATAGAGTATATATGAAACATGAAACCCTTTTGCCTGATGTCTCTACAATGGATGGAAAAGTTTATGTAAACATGAACTAAACCAAATGCATGTTGTTTTGCAGCGGTGCTGCTATATTCTGTCATCTGTTTCTACGTAATCCTTATGAAACTGCATATGTTTTAAATTATTACGAATAATGTTATATTAGTTATCATCGCATATCATGGACGTAAACTGGATTGATAGATTACTCGTCCACAACAGTAGGAGTTGTGGGGAGGAGATTGGAGAAAGAATCAGCTATGGCTTTTATCTTTCCATCCCAGTCCTACATTTTCCTACACAATCCATTTTGTAGACGTGCAAAAATGTACCTTCTGACCCTACCAGTTGAACCTGGATTGATAGATTAGATATATATTATGCATGGCATAATTATGCAATGTTGGTAATAACTCAAGAAACACTGTACTTTGGCTTCTATGGCTGCAAGAAACAGGGTACTATATATCTAGCCTATACCATGAAATCCAATTTGCGGTGCTTATCGCTTCTACTGCCTCTTGTGTTGGTGGATCATAATAAGCAGAGAATGCCCCCGCATGAATCTCCCCAAACTTCCCAAAACGCGGAAGGTAGCGTCCTACAGCACAGCAAGATTCTGGCGGTGAAGCGAACGTCGGAGGGGCATCATTTAGGAAGAAGAAGTCTGACACGGATCGACGAACCTCCCAATGGGAACAAAAACGCCCCAAGTAGATGTCAAAATCCAACTCTTTCATCCAAACCCATGATTTCTTCTCCCAATCCATTCGGTAAATATAACAAGCACTAAGTAAACATTGTTTCTTCACCCCCATCAACAGATCACCCTTCACCTCCACCAAGTAATAGCATTGGCATCCCTCTTTGACTGGTTCTACACTCAGTTTCACTGCTTTCTGAAAGCTGTTGACGGTAGGTTGAATAACCCAGATGTAACCATAAAAATCAATGGCGTAGATGTCACCCTTGTAGAATACTGCATCGGAACACCGTCCCACGAAGTTGTTTATTCTGATCCATGCATGATCCCCAGTTCTGCAAAAGGAAAAACTGTGTCCGTGTTTACCGGGGTGGATGGCCAGGACTTTGCAGAGAGGATCCGTCGGAATGGTGGAGGTGATCACCCTCGTAAACTCCGGCTTCTTGGAACTCATCCGGAAGATTTCCGGCCTCCTGAATCGTTTCTCAGGAGGAAGCTTAACGGTGGCGCTGGTGATGGGATTTAAAAGATGAATGGCTTGATTGGCAACGGTGAGAAGCCAGCCAGGAGAGGATGCGGTATACCATCCTCCCTGGAGTTGTGGTAGAAAAATCCTGTGGATTTTGTGGGACCAATAGTTGTAGATCCGACAGCATTGCCGGCCTGTTTGATTCTCCGACGGAAGCAATACTAATAGAGCGTTGGATTTGAGTCCGGGATAGCGTAAAAAGAGTAATCGAGCGGCATATTGCCAGGAGACACAGACCGATGCACATGATAAAATATGATCCAAGTCGATAGAGTGGTACGTGAAAATTTCGTGCAGCAGTTCTGTTGGGAGATTGGAGAAAGATTTTGTAGACATTGAAACAGGGCAGGGAAATTCTAAGAATCAAAATTGAAGACAACAACAGCTGGATTAATTCCAAGGAAAAACCTGCCGTCGAAAAAGGCTTCTTATACTAACTCTTAACCTATATATATATGGATTAGAGATACATTTAATTTAGGTTAAATATCCAATTTCTACCCCTAAACTTTATAAAGTATCAAAACAATCCTTTAATTTTGATTTTTGGGACTAATTTGATCCTTTTGTCGATGGAAGTGTCAGATGGTATGTTAAGTTGCCACAAAATTAGTTCATTGTCTTAGGTGGAAAATTGGGTAGATGATGTGGAAAATTGAATGATTTAAGGTCATTAATTAATTAATTAATATATTAAACTAAAATAAAATTACAAAACTAACATCATCCTTTTCTTCAAATTTTGTTCTTGTTCCTCTCTCTTTCTTATGTTTCTTTTCCCATTGGCCAATTTTTTATTCTCATATTCAAGTTCATAGGTGATTGGGCTTGAATGAGGAGATTTGGCAGTTGGGCAATACCTTGGAGTGTGGAGTGGTGAAGAAGAAGAAGGTGTTGAGAACTAACCATAACATGAAATCTACAACAAATCGATTAATTTGTTAGTGCTACGTATTATGCTTTTGGAAATTCACAACAAACGAATAGCTTTACTGATGTTGTAGAAATAATAGTTAAACTTTATTCAAAAAGGTCTACATCAACAACTTTTCAACAAACAAAATTCCTTCCAACATAGATGATATGTAGTATTGTCATAACCCAATTTTAATTGGGGCTAGGTGAGAAAAGTAAAGTTC